TGCCCGATAGTTCTTCGGCCCACTCAAATCCTGCCTGCTTCAGGCCAGGCAAACTCCTCCTCAGCCTCAACACCTTTCCACGCTGGTCCTCTTTCAAGTAGCCGGGTGGGGCGCGCATGTATATTTCCTCCTGGATGCTAGCGTACAGGTAAGCACTTTTGATATCTACCTGGTGTATCTCCCAGTTTCGCTGAGCCGCCATCGCTAGGACCATCCAGATTGTTATCATACTGGCTGTGGGGGCAAAGGTGTCGAAGTAGTTGACGCCGAGCTTCTGCCTCTGCCTGTTCGCCATGAGTCGGGCACGCAACTTCAGCTTCTCACTGTCCGGTCCGCGTTTAGTGGCCAGGACGTAATGGCACGGTATGATGTTGGCGCCTCAAGGTGGGTCCACTACCTCCCACGTACCTAGCTTCTCCAACTGACTTATCTCATAGTCCACCGCCTCCTGCCATTCAACGGCATCTGGACCATTTAAGGTCTGCTGTAGTGTGGGTTCTGGCTCTGCTGCGGCCAAGGCAAGGTGAAGATAGTTTTCTTCATCCATTAGGTCTACCTCTGACGCCTCCAGCAGATTCTCCATCGTTAGGGCAGCCATCTGGCCCTTGTTTAGCGCCGCATAGTATCTGGGGGTGGTCTTGCCCTCGTTGACCTCGTTGGAGGAGTAGATGGTTGAGGTTGTTGAGGAGTAGAAGGTTGAGGTTGCTGTGGAGTAGAAGGTTGAGGTTGCTGAGGAGTAGAAGGTTGAGGTTGCTGTGGCATGGTGATGGGCTGGACGCTACTAGGTGAGTTATTATTATCGTTGCCACTGCTATGTTCATTAACAGCAGTAGACTCCCCCTCGTCCGGCACACCATTGGCTGCTAGGATCAGCCTGAAGGTGACATTCCTTTCGACCGTGACTCAACGCCTCCCGGGCTAGTATACCTGGTATCCCTTACTCTCAGCGTCTACCCCCACAAAGACTGCTTCTTTGCCCTCAAGTCCGGCTTGGACTTGCGCACCATCTCATAGGGTGTGCTACCTGGGATGGCTCTTGAAGGTAGGCGGTTCTTGAGCCATGTGGCATAACTAACGGCCTCTGCCCACAGATACTTTGGCATGTTCTTGCCCAGGAGCATCGCTCTCGCGTGCTCAACCAGGGTGCGATTGAGGTGTTCGGCAACGCCATTCTGTTGGGGTGAGTCGTGCACCGTTAGCTGCCGTTCGATACCTTGCTGACACAAGTATTGGTCGAACTCGGCGCTCAGATACTCTCCTCCTCTGTCCGAATGGACTTTTCGCATGCGGACACCTGGCAACTGACGCGTCACCCATGCCTTGTAGGACTTGAACACAGTAAGTGCGTCACTCTTTTGCTTGAGGAACTCAAGTCGCGTCTGCTGGCTGAAGTCGTCCGTGAAACTGACATAATATTTACAGCTGCCTAGACTTGTCGTTTGCGCCGGTCCCCAGAGGTCCATATGGACTATCTCCCCATATGTGAGTGCACGTGTCTTCGTCTCTTTCGGGAAGGACTGCTGCGCTGACTTAGCTTTCACGCAGGTATCGCAGAATTTGGGTTTGGACTGCGGGTCCAGGTCTACTCCCACCACCAAGCCTTTCTTCACGGCCTCAGCCAGTGCATTCTGGCCGACGTGGCCCAGCGTTCTATGGAGCTGGCCCAACGTAAGTGTTCCTTTCGCTATGTGGGCCTGATGATACTGACGGCCCTTTGACGACACGCTATAGAGTCCCTCTACCTGTGGAATCTTGGCTATCACCTTTCATTTGGGGCTGTGTGACAATATTTTGCACATCGTGCCCTCAAATAGCACTGCCAGTCCTGCAGATGCTATCCAGTTCGTCGAGATCAGGGTGAAGGCCATCGTTGGAGCATACAACGTGTCCTTTAGGGTGACACTGGTGCGTTTGGCACCCAAAGGCAAGTCAATTTTGACATCTCTGCATCCGGTAGCACTGACAACAGACCCATTTGCAGTGTAGACCCTTTGGGGCCTTATTTCGACAAAATTGTCGAACTTGGACCTCTCTGGGCAGAAGTGGGAGGTAGCGCCGGAGTCGACAATTGCTCCTCGGCGCTTGACAGGTACGTGCATAGTCTCAGCTACAGTCGCAAGGTCTGATGTCACAAAGGCGTAATTGTCTTGGGCCTCGGAGTCTTTGGCTGTGGCCGCGTTGGCACTCTGCTTTTGGGTATGTCCTCCCCTTCTAGCCTTTTGCTTGGGTCCCTGACCCTCCTTCCCTCCCCCTTTTCTCCAGCACTCACTCTTGTAGTGACCCTTTCGGTCACAATTCTGACAGAGCACGTCGGGGTTGTAGTGGAGTGCCGCGCCATCTGTGCCTTTGGCTTTGGGATCGTTGGCGCATGCTGAGAGGGCCGAGTTGGTGCCTCGTTTAGATGGACGCCTATCGGTGAGCATGCGGTGCTTGTACTCCTCACTGATGACATTGACAAGCTCATAGGTACTTAGGGCCTTCTGCGTTATCTTGGCCGCTGCATTGATGGATGATAGGATGGGGCGGTAGGATTCAGGGAGGGACCCCAATATTATGGCGTAGAAGTCCTTCTCATCGATTGACACGCCCATCCCTGCTAGCGACTTGCGGATGCGCAGCAGCTCACTGAAATGCGCTTGAACGTCTCCGTTCTCGTCACAACGCGTCTCCTGAAGTCTACGACGTAAGTCTATCTGCACGAGCTCCGTTTTTCCCTTGTGTATCTGACACACTTCCTTCCAGACATCAGACGCGGCCTCGAGCTTTTGGACGCGTAGGAGCAGGCCATCCGTTATGGTACTAAAGACTTGCTGTTTTACCAGCGAGTTTCGCTGATAGTACTCATCCAGCTTCTTATCCAGGTCGTCAATCTCGGTCTGAGTGGGAACAGTGCCGTCTTTCTTTGTTACAGCCCCAGTCTTGGGATCGACTAGGAACGGTATAGGTCGTACTGCCCAGCCGTCCACATAACACATCAAACCTCTTGCTCCGATGGCCGTTAAGGTACGTTCTTTGTATGTTATCCAGTTAGTGCCATCTTCGGCTAACTTGGGAACATTGAATAGGCTCGAACTCGTAGCGGGGAGCGTTGTGTCCATTGCCAGGGCAGGGCTCATAACCTGTGAGGATAATATTCGAGCAGGAGCTTCAGGACACGCTAGACAGGTAAGATCTCAGTATTCGGATTACGAATCTCTTTATTGACGAATGTTTTTACCTAGACAGGTAAGCTACGTTATACGTTAGTACTCGTACTCAAACGTTACATTAGAAGACTCACATCTCAGTATTCGGATTACGAATCTGAGATGTTTCGATGGCGGATGGCTGCTTTTATATGGTGTGCGCCAGCTGGCCTTTTTGATGAAAACATATACTAAACAAATGAAAAAGATAGCTGATGTTGACACGTCATCTGGAATCTCCGTTTGGTGGCGCTCGCACCTCGAGCTGCCTTACTCTTCGGCCATAGTCCCATTTCCTCCTTTGGTTCCTCCTCTCTCGGCCTTTCTGTCCTCGGGTTCATCAGCTCTCAACAGTTGCTTGGAAAAGTCATCGTCGTTTGTTGCACCTGGGGCAGCAGGTATTGTGTTCTGAGCACTCTAGGACTATTTTGAGGGTTGAGTAGGATGGTGGACAGCTAACTAGTATCTGATATTGAATGCCTTCTGATGCGAGTACGTATGACGCTCCAAACCCCACTTTAATAAACTGCGCGATACATGACATCCAGTGCGTGATACAACAGGGAAAGGAATATAGCTACTATTGCTAGTATACTGCACGGCCAAAATCTTCAAAGTTTGGCTTGACAATCAGGTATTTGATGAGATTGTTAGCCATGCAACTGATAAGCTTTTGCTCGTGATCGAAGGCACTTTGGCCTTTCACAGTGAATAATACCGCTTTCCAGCAATCCGGATTTATCTCGCTGATGTCGAGTTTCTCAAACCGTTCGACGGCATCCTTGTAAGGTTGTGGATTTCGCCCATCCAGCAGAAACCGACCCATTCCGTTCCACCACAACTGCTTCCAGTCCTCCTCGCATCTCTTTTGCTTCGCGCAAGTTCCTGCGTGTACCATAGGTGGGGCTTCACATGCAATAATCTGACGGTGTATATCCAGATGTTCCTTGACCTTGAACATTGTGTTCCACACGATGGGCCCAACAGCGTGATGTTTGTCGTCGGACACATCATTGATGCGAGCTGAAATGAGGTGCTCGAAAGCATGCGGCAAGAATTCTTTGATATTGAACTTCAAAGCGAGCGAAATAAGTCGTGTGGATTCGAGTGAGTAGCGGTTGTGCTGGAGATTTTGAACAGCATAGTCACGAGTGTCTCTGCAAAGATACATGTCGCTCAGCTCCAGTAGTTGGATGACGGTGTCATTAGGTATTTTGACGGCATCAGGCCTCCATCTGCATGACATTCAAGTTGGATGTGAGCTCATTATGAAACAAACTCAGGCTCACTTGTTGTAACAGACCGAAAGGAACAATTCGAAAGCATTTTCGCTTACTTGTGATGGTACAAATATGGGTTTGTCGTCAGTGCTACTGTCGACCTCTTTGAGTTGGGTGTCCTGGCTTGCAGCAAACATATCCCTAAACCCAAGAGATTTATCCCCAAGGATGCTTGCATGCACCTTCAAGAGTGAGTCTCCTGCCTATCAGTACATTCAAGTTAGTCCATCATAAGGCTATGATCCATCGAGTGGCACAAACCTGGAAGATGTGGGTGCCATCTGAGAAGAAGAACATTTGATGGCGTTGAGCAGGCATTGAACTTGAATCAGTAAGGCAAGTCAACTTGATTGTTTGAGCAGAATATTGTGTGAACACGAAGGGATGGCTTAGAAGAAGAGTTGAGGTGTTAGTAATAAAAAAAACCAGGTATGGAAAGGAATGTGTTAGACCCGAAACACGTCACCAGTAAAAATTATACCAGCGGAACCTTTGAACAACATATAGCTTTCTAACTTGCGTCAGATACAAAACAATGGACGCTGGTCCTTTGGTGCCATTGTCACTCCCACTTCTCCCTGAAACAAAAAATTGGTCTGCGGAAATCCAAGCTGCATATGAGAGTGTCCGATGCACTTATAATCATGCCATCCGAGTTCTTCGAGCAGATGGAGCTGACCCCACTCGTATTGCATTCCACGTGGATGCTATCTTGTCGAATGCAATTCCAATTCTCCAAGCACTCGTACCTGACATCGACTCAGATGATAATCTGGAGTCTCTCCCCATCGAATGGTTAGCTAACATAGCCACACAACTTGGTCGCGCAGTTACCAATCTCGAACACCTAGGAACCACTGTAAATGAACAGTGAGTCAAATTTTTGATAGACGTGCAGATACTAAGACGAGATATTTACAGAGAGGAGCATAATATTGATAAACCAGAATTGAGAACACCGGGAAACGAGGACGACCTAAAAAAATAATAGATCTTGATTTCTTGAGGGAGTCCACCTCTGCTCGACATCAAATCAGGCATGTTGAACTCGCAAAAATCCTCGATGTTCATCCAGAAACACTACAGCACTACATGCATCAACACAGCATTGAAAGGTGCTATTCCAACCTTCGTGACTGTGACCTTGATGCTCTGGTGAAGCTATTCAAGCGTCGTAGACCAGAGTCCAGTTTTCAGTACCTTGTTGGCTTTCTTCGCCAACAAGGTGTTCGTGTACAGCATAGGCGAATATGGCAATCACTACGACGAGTCGACAGAATTGGACACCACTTCCGACGGCAACAAATTATTCAAAGACGGAAATATCAAGTAAAATGTTCCAATGCTCTCTGGCATTTGGATGGGCACCATAAAATGATCCGGTGGGGGGTTGTCGTCCATGGATTCATTGACGGCTACTGCAGAACAGTATGCAACTGTCATTTGAGTCAAATTGTTGCCAATTGCTAATGCCTGTCCAGGTAGTTGCACTGTGAGCAAGCACAAACAATCGTGCTGTAACAGTACTTGATTTATTTCTTGAAGCTCAAGAGGAGTATGGTATGCCATCACGTATGTGAGGTGATCGCAGTGGTGAAAACATTGATGTTGCTACTTATATGGTCATGCGAAATGGCCAAAATCGTGGCTCCTTTATGTGGGAATCGTAAGACTTTCTTTTATCAAATGACCGATTGGGAGTTGTGCTTACACAACTACTACAGGTCCACTCGAAACTCAAGGATAGAGCGCCTCTGGGTTGAAGTAGGAACCCAGTTCGTGAGACGTTGGAGGGCATTCTTCAGTCGCTTGGAGAGATTGCATGGCCTCGATATCGAGAAAATGGGTCATTTGTGGCTCCTCCAAGGTCTATTCTTGGATGCTATCAATGATGACTGTAAGACCTTTCAAGAAGAATGGAATCTTCATCCGATTGCTGGCCCGTCAACGAACAATAAGAGCCCACAGGTAAGTAGTAATATCCGCTACCTTGGACATGTTCTTTGCGCTTTATATCTGCTACCTTGGACATGTTCTTTGCGCTTTATCTGCTACCTTGGACATGTTCTTTGCACTTTAATCAATGTTTGAACTCGCATTTACGATTTATCACAGGATCTGCAACTGATAAGCCAGGTAACACTTGGCATTTACCGAGACAACTGTGAAGGAGTTCACCCTGACACAATTGAACGATACCATGGCACTCATGGGCGAGAACAGACTCGTTGTCATGGACAAACTGGTGCTGGCCATCCTGATGACGAAGACACTAATTCAGGGGATCAACTCGTCTCACAGATAGAAGAAGATCAGGAACAGAATGTTTGACACGCTGCTGTTGAAGTGCCCGGGAAGAAAAGTCCCTTTGTGACCCAGGATGACGAGAACCTTTTTTTTTCAACAGTTGAGAAAATTGTTGTTGAGGGCATCATACCTGAAGGTTATGGCTTGTTACCTGGTGAACAAGATGATGAGGATGCAGCCATAATTGAAGTCTTACAATTTGGGAGACGCGGAACAAAATCTATTGTAGTATCATTAAGTGATTCTGTCTGGGAAGCTCGTGCAACACTCTGGTGTCAAGGATTGTCAGCATTATCTTTGTTCAAAACCGAAAGATACTTTTAGCTAAATATCATACATGAAATATATGCTTAAAATTTGACCAGAGACATAGTGTCAATCACAATTCACCGAGGCTTTATGTGAGACAAAAATTTTCTATAAAGCACATCTACAGTATACTGGTTCTTCCGAGCCGTCTCCACATCATCTCATACATTGCCATGTCCAACCGCTATGAAAAGTACTGCCAAGACTTTCGTGAAGGAGGACAAGCCTGCACCTGTGAATACTTCACCCCACCCTCTAACCCCGACGCTCCTTACTACTGTCGAGAATGCCAGCATGGGTTTAGCAAACATCCCGAGGCTCTGGATTCCACTTTGCGAGCTACACCTCAAAGGCAAGAGGGCACAGAACTGTCTGGAAAAAAGAGGCTGGTCAGTATATTCAAGAAAAAAACCAGTCTAGGATCTGCAGTGCCAACAGCTACCTCGTCCCAAAACATACTTGACCAGAGGGTAGATGTCGAGCAAGCCTCAGTAGCCCGAGACGAAGTCATGAAAGGCTTCAGGGCTGGCTTACACTCACAAACCAGCAAGGTCAATAAGGTGCAAAACACATCATGCACGATTGTTCACCCTTGGCAGCACTTTCAAGATGTTCCCACGTACCGTCAGACCCTATTATTATGTAGCAAATATATAGTCTAAGAGACCCCCTCCTCCAGGAGGCTTTGCCCTAGTTTTCCAAGGATGTGTGGCCATCCCTCGAGAGCATGTAACCAGAGCCTCGTCACAGAGGGTAAGCGCAACCTCCTGGTATGTTCCCTGGAGAGCCTCAACATAGCAGCCTCTCCAGATGCTCACTGCCTGCCTCCCCATGTCAGCATCTCCAGATGTCGGCAAGTGTGATAGCGGATATGTTCTGGAGCCTCTCCGTATCTGTATGTTATCCATACTTCCATACTTCCATATTCCAGTTTGAATGTTTTATTCCATTTCTGCACCCAATCCTCCGTGATCGTGATTGTCTTGAGGAGTCAAACGAGGCCTGATCACATACAAAACATTGCATTGGCTGATACTATGGTAGATACAAAGGACACGGTAGGTACGTCAACGTTCGACAGCAAGCACGACAACCAAAAATGACGAAACAACTCAATATATACGCGGCCGAGGGAGTCACCTGAATGCAAAAAATGAGGCCTGCGAGCCTAAGGAGTTCATCCTCAATCCTCCTGGTCCTTGGGGTACTCGTTAGGATACTCACACCCATACCCATGCTGGTATCTGCCTTGTGGACCAAAATATGCACTGCTGGGAGGGTGCCAATAAGTCTTGACATAACTGTCGTATCCATCACAAGAATTGTGGTAGGGAGCATCATGGTAATCACTGTGATACTGAGGCTGAGGACCATGGGGGGGCTGGGGGGCATGAGCCATACGGGAGTCATGGTAATATTCGGGCAGCGGGTAACGAGCAAGGCCTTGTCCATAGCGCGATGGCATTGGACCCCTTGGGCGTGGACCATACATCCCTGGTCTCATGTCTGCATCATGTGCCCGCGTCATGGAGTGACTCTCGGCATTAAAGTCTCTGTCGGTAGGTGCAGCCGCCATCTCGGATTTGGTACGCCGCTCATGATGGGATCGTGGCATCCCCATGACAGGCTCCCTGTGCCCAATGGGTTGGTCGTGAATTGTCGCAGGCTGCAGGGATTGAGGTTGCATGAGAGGCGACTTAGCTGCTGGCCCAAGAGATTCCCCGCGCTGCAGGGATGAAGGTCGCACGACAGGCGACTTAGAAGCTGGTGCGAGAGATCCTGCACACACAATGTTGTCCGGGAATAAGTCTACTGAAGCATGTCGAGTTGGCAAGGGAGGCAAGGGACATGTGGGGAGGCTGTTGGTAGCATCAGCATTGCTCGAGCGAGTCTCTGCTGCAGCTTTGTTGACGGCACTACCGTCAGGAGCATCGACGTCATTATCCACAATGGGATCAACTGCAGTCATAGGATGCTCTAAGGATCGTGTCAGTCAATGGAAATTGTAACAATGTAGTCAACAAATTCATACCTTGAGCTGACGAACCATCAAGCAGATGTTTAGCAGGTTTGGCTACAATATACATCAGTCGCCTTATAGAAGCAAATGCAAGAGGAACAAACATACCTCGTACATCTTGAATATGTTCATCACCGGAGGACTCAGCAGTCCCTGATGGTGCTCTCCTCTCAGGCACCTTGGGTTTAGGCCTCACAGGTACCTTACCTTTCATCTTCTTTGCTGAGACTGCCTTCTCTGCAGGCGCAACAGACGGTGACCTCTTCTTGGATGCTCGCGAGGCGCCTTCAGATTTCACCTTCCACTTCTTGGAGGAAACATCATCTTGGTAATCGGAGTCGAGAATCACTGATTCCTCCAGGTTTTCATCTAGGTCCTCTGAGCCAGACGGAGTATCACTAGACGCCAAGGAAATGACCTCCTTGTCGACCTTCTTCTGGCCCGTCAGGCACTTAACAACTTTGAATTCTCGGGAGGGGGGAGGCTGGGGGCGGACAGGTGCAGACACACTTGGTTCGTCATTGGACTCGTCAGCAAGAGATGTTGTGGAAGCAGGCAGTGTCAATGCTTTCTTTGATGTTTTGCCTTTGACTATGGAAGTAGCTGTGCTCTGCTTCAGGCGCAGAGCACCCAGGCGATCCGATTTGCCATTCACAAAAAGGCGATGTCCTGCAGTATGAACCGAATCTGCTGCAGGAGGTGCGCCCTCCACTACTGGGCACTCAGAAGTGAGGACTTTAGCTGTATAAAAAGATCATTTGTAAGCAGGCGAAGACTGAAATTGAATAAAAACATACCTCACTTAGCTTCAGCAATTTTTTTGATGCTCATGGTCCCCGCCTTCAAGGCTGCGATGACAATGCCGGTCTCCTTCAGAGTCAGGTTTGCGATACCTTTATTTACGGTGGTATGAAAACCACCTGGGAGGAGCGCGTCCTCCAGATATCCTTTGATGATCATTGACATACGCGTGAGCTCTGATGGCAGTGTCTTCCACAGAAAAATCTTGTTGGACGTTAGTTTTCCACCCAGTGCATCTGTCCCTCAGTGTCAGTGAACAAACAACAAATGAAATACACTCAAAATACCAATTTGACGATGCAACTCATCCTTGATCCACTTGATTCCATGCTTGGAAATGTCGAGAGATTCTGAAGGGGGGACTGAAACCCCGCGTACATTGGCCTCGATCCCAATGCTGTCTTCATCAAAGGCCTCTTCGATGACACCAAGTGATGTCAGGTTACTAATGATTACATGAGAACTTCGTCACCAGGAACGTCGAGACAATACTTACTATACCTGGGCTTTCAAGTGACCGATGATAGTATCTTCATCAGCCCTACAGCGTGATTTCCAAAACTAAAATTAAGATAGTGATTAGGTGACGTTTATGTGGCCTACAAATACTCACACCCTCAGCTCCAGGTGTCATATGGGCTAGGCCCAGCGAGCCGTCTTGATTAATGACTTTTCCACATGCTACAAAAGCAGCCTCAAAGCCATAGTGAGCTGCTGCAGAGTCCATCTGTCTACCCTCAGTAACACAATAGTAAAACATGACAGAATTATACTCACAAGGCCAGAGATCTTTGTGCCAAATTTCTGGAACTCTTGACCCCGCATGGCAACCGTCTGAGGAATACCCAGGAGCATCGCTGACTGTTCATGAAGCTTGAGGATGTTTTGCCACTTGTCCAGGAATGCTGCCTTGAAGAGTTCATAGCAATTATGGCGCACAGTGGCACCTTGAATCACTGCATTAGAATGACAGAACATCGGCCACAAGATGTAAAACTCACTTGGTGTGCCATGAATCTCGGGGGCCCTCCTGCCGAGCCTCGCAAGCTCGTCCTTGAGGTGGTCCTTGAAGTAACTACTGTAAGTGTTCCAATGGTTGACAGTACTGGTGGAGCGCGCATGGCTCTTGTTCCAAAGTGTGACGATCTGATGAGTGGGGATGGCTGTTTTGCTACTTAGATCTTGAATCATACATTCAAGTTCCACGAATCCCTCTTGGAGCACAGCATTCACTGTCTGAAATCTTCGCCCCTTCACTGCAGGGACAACATCAGATGTATCGTCCACGGGGAAGTCAAAAGCATCATCCATGGGAAAATCGTCAGTGTAAGGATGACCCTCCCATTCTGCAGGCCCTGTGGGAGTAGGAGGTGTGATGTAAGTCTGAGGCACAGCAGGTAGCAACGTCGATGAGCCGGCAATGTGGTTGTCATCTCTGCCGTTTTCGAAGGAACCCAACATCATACCACTGAAGTCATATTGTTCCAGTGGTAGAAACGAGGGTTTTGTAAAGAAGTTGGGCTGTGGAGGCTGGCCACCATCTGGGCAAGCATTCTCAGATGAATTGATAAGAGGAGCCTCATAAAACACATCTTGTATAGGAAGCTGCAAAGGCACCGAACGCCCTCGAAGAGCAGGCTGAGGAGGCACCGAATGCTCTCGAAGTGCAGTCTGAGGAGGCACCGAATGCTCTCGAAGTGCAAGCTGAGGAGGCACTGAACGCTCTCGAAGCACAGGCTGAGGAGGGGTTGAGTATTCAGCATCAGCGAGCAATGTATCAAGTACCTGTCCATTGGAATCCGCCATAAACTCCTCGTTGAGAAGCCTGGCCCGACGCATAGAAGCTTCCTTCACTAAACCCGCATCACGGTTCGTAGCTTTGATGTGACTGCGGAGTTTTGTAGGGGTGTGCTCCACTGGTGGATCTTGATAGCGCTTTCCTCCGCCAACTTGTTCTTCAACAAAGTCTTCAGTGTGAGGCGCCTCAGGACACTCGGGCTGCAGGGACTCAGGAGGGGCAGAGTATCCAGGTGGCGGGGAATCTTAAATTTTAACTGAGGTAATTTTAGATGAGGTTTGGGTCATAGCTAGGCCGATAAGTTATGATCAAGCCAGGGGCATGAGAGGGAGAAGGAGAAAAATTCAGACTAGAATGCAGGAGGGAGAGGGAGAAAAACATACCAATATCAAAGTATTTTTTAAACAATACAATATGGTGAGGAGGTAGCGGGAGAGGAAGAGGTCAGACCAAGGGCAAGACACCGTTGAATATGCCCAGGAGAAAAGCTGTCACAAAGAGATCCACTGTCTGAACTTTGAAGACAGAAGTTAGGAATGGAGGTCGTGATCGGCGAGAACAGACTTGTTTAGCTCACATATGGTATTCCAGGAGCATCGGCAGAGCCTTCTCCAGACATCAGAGATTGAATTATCAAGCCTAGCTATGACTAAGGCTTCTGAGTGGTTTAGATTGAGTTCGATGCAGGAGGGAGAAGCAGAAAAACATACCAATGTCACAGTATTTTGTAGGGTCAGACGAAGGGCAAGATGCTGTTAAATTTGCCTAGGAGAAAAGCTGTCACAAAGAGATTCGCTGTTGGAAGACAGAAGTCAGGAACTCTTAGCTCACACGTGGTAGTCCAGAGGTAGGCAGGAGCATCGTCAGAGCATCTCCAGATGTTCGAGATTGAATTCTCCATACATTTCATCCATCAGTGTCAAAGTCACAGAGTCGAGATAGTTATACATATACGCAACATATGAGCCGGTTCAGTAGTCGTTGTAGTTCTGGTACAAGAACCCTTTGAGAAAATGAACTACCGCTAACTCGGCATCTCCATCGGTGAGTGCGTGACAGTAGATGTCATCTACCATGGCAATCATGTCGCTCATGCCCCGGCAAACTTGGTCTGCAGTGCGCCACTCGTCACAGACCCCGCACAATTGAAGTATACCACCTTGCCCTCGAGTAGCCCTCTCGAGGAAGTCCTTGATGCTCGACATCGCACATTTGAAAATTTCTCGATCTCCGTGTCCTCCAGGAGTGTCGGGGATAGATTTTGTGTATTCGGCAAAGACGCCCAAGGTGAATGTTCGTGGAGATCGAACATATTGCATGAAGTCATCCTTGGCGTATTTGACCACGGCAATGCAATCAGCCAATGTCTCTCTAATAAAAATATTATAAACACGTCCAAGACGATAATATTTAGGACTTACAATGATTCTGGGGGATCATCTTTGTTGGTGTAGCATCTCTCCCTCCATTTCGCGAGTATCATATCATGGCACCTGTATCTTTGTTCAGCTTGGGAGTATTGGGGGCTAACTGAAACAAACATCACATACATGGCATAGTACTGGCAATGCTTGGCCCTCATAGCTTCGAGCTTGGCGGCTGCACTTTGGTATTCGGTCGGAGGGTCCATAGTGTAACTAACAGTGTGAAATATTGTGAAGCGACGGAGGAATATGAGCACCTACTTGAAAGTACAGTCGAGTGTCCTGGCGTACAATGTAAGATCCACATGGGTTGAAGTTCTGTTGAGACCTAGGAGGATCCACACGCCTGGAATTCGAAGATCCGTTACTACGTGTCTGGGCCCATAGCAAATGTGCCTCTTTGGTTGTGGGTAAGCAGGAGTATGAAGGACTCGCATGAAGATACAGTTGAGTCTTTCAGGTCGTGTCAGTAATTGTAGGACCCACATGACTGGAACTTACAGGCTGCATATCCCGAGGATCCACATGCCTGGAATTCGAAGATCCATTACTACGTGTCTGGGCCCAGTGCCTCTTTGGTTGTGGGTAAGCAGGAGTATGAAGGACCCGCGTGAAGATACGGTTGGGTCTTTCAGGTCGTGTCAGTAATTGTAGGACCCACATGACTGAAACTTACAGGCTGCATATCCCAGCACCGTGCCAACGAGTCATTTTGACGCGTGAGAATTTGAACTTTGTGACCTTCCTCGATGATCATCAATGAGGTATCTCCATTATTATGACTTACAAACTCGGAAGCTTTCAGAACCTTCTGTCCATGAGGCTTCTCGGCGCTAACACATGACTAAAACTTACAGGCTGCATATCCCGGCACCGTGCCAATGAGTCATTTTGACGTGTGAGAAACTTTATGAACCTTCCTTGATGCCATCATCAGCGAGGTATAACGCGCCTTCTGGCGACTTTGAGTGGGCGCTTCCATCAATTACAAAGGTGTGCTTCTTCATATCTATTGACTCCACCCTCCACTATCGATTAAATCCTCCATTATCGATGATATACGACTTACAAACATCAAACACTAAATCTATGCGCAATTTCGCAATCGATTACATCCTGCCCTCAAGTCGTTGTTCTTCCTTCTTCGTCGATGGACTTTGCAAAGCTCGACCACGTTCTCAACCACATCGCATCGCAGCGTGGGTTGCCTGTGGAGGAAGTGTTACAAGAGTGGCTGGAATGGCGTGAAATCAGTGATCCTGATGATTGGAGGCAGTTGGATGGGATACCTTGCATCATGGGTGGTTTGACCGCCTTGTGTGGTAAGTTCTGTTCTCGAGGTTTTCACTGAATCACTGAAATTGTTGCAGGAAAACTCGACACATGAGCGGGTAACTTCCCTTGGAAGACCTTACCTATCCTACTAGGCAACTGTGGCTGCATCCTCTGTAACTACCCCGACAAGACTCTGATGCCTGGTGAGAGACATACAACGCTCACAAAGAGCAAAGGTATCCATGACCTCACTCTTCGTGAGCAGAGCGTACTTGTAGATGCTCTCAAAAATGACTTACTGACCCTCCAACACATCACTGATCATGATGCCCGCCGAAGACTCTTGTTCTCTCGTGACCCTGTCATCTATGGAGAAGCTCCTAGCGCTGAATCACCCCACTCTCATGGACGACGTCAGTTCCTCGATTGTCGGATCGATCGCAGGGGTCTCCCTCGTCTCACACTGGATGAGACTTCTCCAGTGCCTCCTCATCTTCATCACCGTCCTCATCCTCGGCGATTCCAATCATCATCCCCTTCTCTAGCACCTTCTCCAGCACCTTCTCCAGCACCTTCTCCAGCACCTTCTCCAGTGCCTTCTCATCCCCGTCCCCGTCCCCGTCCTCAGCGATTCCAATTGTCATCCCCTGAGCCATCTCCTGGCCCTCCCCGTCCCAGGAGTCTCCCTCATCTCACACTGGACGAGACTTCTCCAGCGCCTCCTCGTCCTCGGCAATTCAAATTGTCGTCCCCTGAGCCATCTCCTGGCCCTCCCCATTCTTGTTCTTGGCGATTCCAATCGTCATCCCCTGATCCATCTCCTGGCCCTTCTCACCGTCATCAGAAACTCCGTGTATTTGTTGAGATGCCACTCGCCCCACCCTCCTGGAAGTTGATTGCTACACGGCAACTGGAAGAGGCGAGTCGTGAAACTCCCTCACAAACCCTACCTGCCAGTGGAGAGAAGTTGATTGCTACACGGCAACTGGAAGAGGTGAGTCATGAAACTCCCTTGCGAACCCTACCTGCCAGTGGAGCCAGGTTAATTCCAGAGATAGCCCACCTCAGCCAGACTTTGATGACTATCGTGACGGATGGCCTTGTTGATGATGTAGAAGATTTGTAGAATGACAAATTTCGTACCTGTGGGCTAATTCCAGAGGTAGCCTACCTCAGCCAGACTTCAATGACTACGGATGGCATCATTGATGATATAGAAGATATTGGTGAAGTACCGCCTGAGGGACAACTATAGAAAATTTCAGCTGTATGTAGAGTTGACAAATTCTGTACCTGTGTCCAATTAGGACTTGGATTCGCGTCACACAATCCGCCAAGAGTTCAAACGAGGCTATGGACGTTAACTCAAAGGGAAGTATTTGATGGCTTTGGTGGCACCATAGAAGACTTGTAGTGTGCCTTGTTATGATCACTAGATTCATTTACAGTGAGGCTCGTAGAGCACCCTCCCGAGAGGTCAGATAGCCAATCATATCATGTATAAAACTCCTACTAAACTGAAAACATATCTCTGCAGCATGATATAGCCCAATGTATGGCTATGATAAGGCCCAAAGTGAAGCTGTTATCAGCCTGGTTCAGATGAGATATAAATCTTATGTGCTTTATTTGACACAGACACCTTAATTCGTACAACACCGTTATAACTGGCATTAATGCTTCATCGAGTTGTGAGTTCTTCGAGTTGTTTGTATGTGACTTTGACCTGATTTTGAATCTAGCTCGGCCTATCCTCAACTACATGATGCTCAGGAAACATAGCATCAATCGGTCAGTTGAGTGTCTTGCTCCCTGAAGAGTTTCCTCGTCCTGAAACTACATGAATGTATTGTGTTTGTCTGAGTCGCTAACTCCATCCTTCATTGATTATCACGTAGCTAGCATACTTGAATCAATGTACTTGTAGTTCTGCGCGCATTGCTTCAACTCCACGATGCTCAGTAAGTATGCCATCAATCACTTAGTTGGGTAACCTGTTCCTTGCAGGGTTTTCTCATCATGAAAACTACATGAATGTCTATATTTTGTTTGTCTGAGTCGCTAGCTCCATCCTCCATTACTTATCTTGAAGCTAGCATACTTGAATCAATATACTGGTAGTTCTGCGCACATTCCTCAACTACATGACTCGGATCAAACTATCAATCAGTCAGTTGAGTAGCTTGCTCCCTGGAGGGTTTTCTCGTTCTAACTCTCTTATCCTAAAACTACATGAGTATCTGTGTTCATTGGTCTGAGTCGCTAAATTTATCATTCCTAATCGGGTACCATACTCAAATCAGTGTAGTTCTGCGCACAGTTTCAGGAGAGTTGAAGAAGTGGATGGATTGTATATCACACGGTAGGTACTCTAATTACAAGTGTGCGTATATAATGTCGGAAAGCTATCATGTCTCCCTCGCACATGCCTGGTCTATGGGATCCCCGAAGGACTGCTGCAAGTGCCGCTAAGACCCAGAGACCACAGTCATAGCCGTTTGTCTGCAGAGGATTGAGTATTAGTGGACGGGCTACCCACCCTTTAAGATCAATACTAGCTGAGCCACGCCGTTGGTGAGCTATGGATGATAATCTTGCGATAAGATTCATAATGTCCTGTTCACATTGTTAGTTCAATAATGTGTGAATCAAATTATCACTTACTTTAACATCTGTCTTCCATGGGTGTCGTTCAGCCAGGCTATCAAAGAGATAGAGTTCTTTGGATGGAATATATATGGCACAAAACACCCAGTGTCCGACTGGAGAGGGGCGATGAATAGGTAAAAGCCAGAGATCTCTCTCCCAAAACAACGTCCACAACGTATTCCGCCACAATATGTCGTCCGACGCATTGTATCGAATACGAGGGAGATCGTGGGTAGACAGAATAGCACAAGGTCTCACATGCGAGCTCATCAGCATCTCAGAGTATAATAGTGCCGCACAACCATTGATACACGTGTCATTAAGGCGGGAAGTGGGATGTGCCAGTAAGGACAGATCCCTTGCATCGAATACCTGGGGTGGAAAGCCATCTTGGGCTGGTCGTACCCGAGTGAGGGGAGTGTTTGATGCTGACACGATGATGTGATCCTCTGGATGGGGAATTTTGAAAGAATCTGTGCAAAGATTCTATGATACCGGATGAGTACAGTTACCTATGGAGAGACGAGGACATACCTCTGGAAGCTGCCAGCTAATCGTAAATTCAGGTAATCCCATGGGTTCGTCGTCTTCATCATCACTAGCGGTATTGTCAGGTAAAATGTCCAAGAGGACAGCTTCTTCAGCAATCTCTTCGAGTGCAGGGGCAATATGTTCGTCAGTATCATCCTCGGGGGAGTCTGCGAGCGCCAATGAGGTTGGTACAAGCCTGTACATGACAGCTTGCGATGGTCCTGTGCTCTTGGAAAGCATAATAGCAAGATTGACCACCATGTTAGCACTGCTGTTGAAACGAGTAGCAGATGCTAGTGGGGTAACCCATTTACTTTGTAACTGGAGAAGGTGATCCTGTCGTTGTTGGAGTGGGAACACGTATGTATGATCTTGTGAAATAAGTAATGATCATCGATGTAAATGAAATTGCTTACTTGTAGGAGAGCGGAGGGCGAGTTCTAGCACAGTGAGCTCAGCTCCAAATCATCGACAAAGGTTATCTGCTTCGTGCCCAATGCGGCGCTGCTCTTCATGGCACCGTTCCCATTTAAGCAACACTTGAATGCCATCTCTTACGTCAGTGTCTTCGATCCAACAAGGGACATCTCCAATGGATGGAGTGATCCAAACATCCTCCATCAGTGTCTGATCTTTGCGAAGATCGGCGAGCTTAGTAGGGAGAGGAGTAGGAAGCAGGACGCCCCAGGACGGGTCAAAGATGCTCTCCAGATGCTCACAATAGGAGTTAAACTTGCGAATCACTGTCATCAAGGCCGGCTGGCGCTTAGCGATAGCCTTATGTGTCTGCTGATGTAGCTTCATACCTTGTAGAATGAGTGAATATTCTGAGGCACAAAAACAGAAGGATTATACATTACCAAGTGCCTGATTTGCACCACCAACCGCACAGTCAAGTTTGTCCCATTCAAAAAAGCTTCCTATTGCTCTCTTCCGGATATTTATTTTGAGATCGCGCGCCATAAGAAGGGTTCGAACAAAATCCAAATCAACGCCCTGTAGTTCCGGAAATCTGTCGTGAACGTTGAGCGAGGAATATAATGTTTCAACTTTGCTCATCAAACAATCATGGCTGTGCTCGAGGCTCTCCAGAGCATCTAAGGTTTCTTCAGTAGCCAAGCCCTTCTCTACAACGGTCCATGTGAGTTGCAATGCCCTGTCCGATGCGTCTAAATCAGCCTGCAAAGTAAGGACAATGTCAAGCTCCTTCTTCAGTCGTGCAGGAGCATCTGTCAACGGGGATATGTTGATCTTAGTATGGAAGTGGCACCCGTGGACTTATGAGCACGAATGGACAGTTGGGACTTCTTCTGATCCACCCACTGTTCCTGAAGGTCTTGAGCTTCGATACCGCAATTATCTAAAACTTCTTGTGCCGCTGCACCCTGACCATTAACTCCACGCTTGAGCTGCCATTTAATCCAATCACCAAGATCTGTTCACATCTCAAGACCAATGGCGCCTGCTTGCCGGTCTATCAACCACAGACACTTCTGGCGCTATCTGTGAACTATAGTCAACAAATAATCATCAGAGTACTAGTACCGACTCACTGATGACGACCTTTGAATGCCAATTAATTTGATGAACCTTGACCATAGTCTTTCAGTTCCCTCCCCGTCTGAGAGGCCAAGACCGTTGCACATGTGAGGGTTATACTCGAGCTGACACACCCACTCGTGGCCATATGCATGCATAGCCGTGATTGCAAATCGAAGACGTGAAGTCACTGATTTGGGGAGAATATCATACTATATAGATAGATATAAGGTTAAAATGTATCTATTAAAGAAGCACTTACTTGAGATAATGACCGTGAGAGGACACACCCAACATCATACAAGGTAATGACAGTGGCTTCCTGCGGCAATCGAGTAAACAGATGCTCGATGAGTGCTATGGCGTATTTCTGTTGCTCGCCAGGTCAATCAATGTTAGCGAAGAAGAGTGGGATATCGTGACGGCATATCAGAGCCATGACGCCCGTATCATTGAAGGAATCCATCGCAGCCTTCTGCTTCTTACCATCCACGGCCTCATACAAGTGCTCGCATTGGTCAATTGCCTCATCTGGTACTACTAAAGAAGTGCAAATCCTTGGTGCACGTTTACGCTGTGAGAGGATGTGTCACCCAACGTTGTCCACTTGAGCCTTGGAAAGGAAATATATGGGATCGTAAAAGCGTGGGCAGTCGCCCACAGATTGTCGATGTCGATGATGGAAATTGCCATCCGTTGCAACATGTATGTCGCCACCTTCATTAAGAGGTCTACCAAAAAGGACACCTCCAAAGCAGGCTGGGCAATGCTGCATGAGAATGGAGGCACACCGGCCTTGGATCAATGTTGTACTGGATTGTATGGGGGTAGTTACGCCAGGGTTCTCTTGAGATTGAAGTTTACGGGCCTCATACACTTGTTCACAACAAATTTGAAGTGTCGCTTCAGTCTGCCATTCGACCTCAATCTGGAGGATGTCGAACCACTGGACAGCTTGGCCAAGTCCACGACGAAATGGTTCTTGAATAAGTTGGCCCTATATTTTAATGAGTTATTGTCTGAAAACCTGAAATGTCAAAACTCACATCTTAGGGCTGCACACCATCGCCGTAATAGACGGTTTGTACGGCGACCATCGACGGATACAGTTGCTGTACCGGCGGGTCTGCAAAGGGAGGCAGACAGGTACGGTGTACGGCTTGGCCATACACCATACAAACCGTCTTCCATACGGCCATTGATGGTACCTTTACGGCTTATACGGTTGGAACAGGGTGCCGGTTTACCTGGTAGCTTCTTGCCCTGAACTGCCATGCCCTGCACCACCAACGACAACGACAGCGACGAGTCTGATGGCGTCCTCGCCTGCCAATGAGCCTCATCAGGTGAACCTTCCACAACTCCTCTAGTAGAGAATTCCCCTACCAGTACCGAGCCCTTGACAGGGAAAAAACGTAAGCGCAAGTCATCAGACAGCCATGGCGAAAACAAGACGAAGAGTTCAAAATGTCCACGATCGTATGTCGGTGTGTTATATAGCATGTGCATCGACTTAATTGCATTTTCAGGCAAGAACAGGAAGAGTAAGTATACGAAGCACCGATCATCCACATGCCTGACAACGTGCTTGTTGTTTAGTGAGGAGCCAAGCCATCAGGAACCCACCCAGGACCCGGGAGAGATGCAACTCGGTGGAGTGCAACAAGTCGTCATCACTGGTATGTGATATCTATCTCCGCTCGGCTTATATTGATGATTTCCCCTAAGCCATTCACGCAACTGATCTCACTCTTGGTCTCCGACGGATCCCCGCTGGCTTCCATGTCGTGGTCAAGACTGACGGCGCTGAATGCCAGACAAGCAATAAATCTGTAAATGCAGACCAGGCTGCCGTGGAATGTGACGAGCGCATTTTGCTGTAAGTCGTCCTTAACCTTGTCTGTCCTGCAGGTATTGACAAAGAATATAGGCCGTGCGATCCATCTTGTAAAGTTTGGGTCAGCGTGTATGCCTCATTTGAATTGGGTCCCATGGTCTAGTCTCAAGCCTGAGACTATCAGGACATTGATGCTCATGAAGGCGAGGCTTCATTTGGGTTGTTCATAGTTGATTTGCATTCTGTATGTACCGTACACCACCGTATACGTCCGTATAATTCACCGTACCGTACCGTTCAATTTGTCCACCAACAATGTCATGTACGGTGTACGGGTTAGCCGTATACTGTATTTATACGGCCGTCTACCGTATATGGTACGGTGTGCAGCCCTATCACATCTGCGTTGGTCATGAGAAAGCCTCTGCGGGCATAATGGGTCTTTAGGGCATGCACAAGCGCATGGATAGCATCGCATGAACGCTCGAACAAAGCACGATAGAATGCGAGTAGGTCTGTAGAAACAGCCATGTGTGGTTGGGAGGGAGCAGTAGGAAAGAGGCCATGGTAAAGGAGGACTTGCGAAAGTGTTGAACATCGGCAGGCCAATACATCAACAGAAAGGAAACCTGGAATTGTCAATTAAGGCGGCAGATGAGGAACGGACTACTTACGGTCAAAAAAGAGACAAACTATGGAAAATTGTCGATGTGTACAACTAGTATGGCTTGCGCAAGCGGATATGACCGGATGGACTTCTGGAAGAGCATACCCATGTGTCCTTGTAGAATATTTGAGATGAGGTTCTACCAGGGTCGGGATAAGCACTTTCCAAGTGTTATATAGATTGTTAGCCATCTTGTTGGGCAAGAGATGGCGACGCCCAAGGTCTACCTTAGGCACATTTGTAGGGCAAGACACTACTTGAGCAGGCTGGGCTACCTCCTCGGCGATGTAATCGTTACCAGTGGTGTGCTCAATATCCATCGGGGCTTGAGACTCAGTAGAGGTGGGGGTTTCAGTGGTCGAAACTTGGGGCTGCATCAACGCAGCCATTTGGTCGAGGAGGCGCTGATGCTTGGAGTTGACGCCGGGAATGTGAACAAGAGTTTGTGTCTTTTTAGGGTCTCGAGCTTTCTTTGGGCTTACGAAGTGGTGTCCTAGCCCCATAGATGTCGGTTGAGTGCCACGTGTGTGGCGGGCAGGCGGCATGGTGATGGACGTAGTGGTGTAGAACAAGAGGCAATGAAAAGAACTTGGGAAACAAAAACGACAAGCAGCTGCAGAGCATAGTAGAGGTCTGCCAGATCTGATGGGTGCACCATATGCATGGAGCCTATCCAGAGGCTTGACGGGATGGGACGGGATATTGGCAAACATTGTAGAGGTATATACGAGGTAAATGGGGAGGTGCAGAGGTCCAAGGGAGGTGCTGGGGAGGGTCGCAAGAGGTCGCAAGGCATATTATGTGTGTGCTATAAATAGAACATCCACGAGGTTGGGTCTGTGAGACTATATAACGCCTACATAATACCATCTAAGAGACCTTCATTGATACCGAGAACTAATGCCTGAGGTGCAATTGTTATACTTACAAGTTGGTCTCGGAGCAGTTGCAATCACATCGAGTTCCTAGTAGTAGGGCAAGGGCTGTGTCATCAAGTCAATTTGATGCCGATGGGGATAAAACTGCAAAAGTTGCATCATGGCTTCTTTTCGTGAATTGCCTTGACGTGCGTGAATATATATCTCTTTTTACACGAGAAAAAACTAACGGAATATGTTGAAGGACGATGGTAATCTCAAGAGCACGAGTCTACTATCACGGACGCAGCTGCACAACATGGAACGTCGTCGTTGTGCACATATTGAGACCGCTAGCAGATTTTCGTTTAATCGAATGTGGACTCATGACGAGGTTAATCAGTACCTGCAAAATGAAGTGTTTCCATTGCCATTTGAATATGTTAATTCAAAAGAAAAAGGAATTGGAATTGGCACACCTTCGTGCCCGTGGGTTTTAATAAGCAAAGAGAGGCTCCGATACGAGGTCGTAAATGTCAACAAGCCAACCGGCAGTGATCTTGCATGATTCCGAGGCAGACACAAGTGCCCTGTGAAAGATGCCAACATCATCATAGGTAAATCTGTGTCCTACAATTTCTTGATAGGCTAACCTACATGTCTTCAGCATTGCGGAGAGGAATTCCAGAACATGTATATGCATCGTGGGATCCTGAATATCAAGAGACGGGGGATGATGGGATTTTTCTGGATTCCGATGATGCTTCAAGTTTCGAGGAGTCAAAACCAACAATATTAACACATGCAGGTAAGTTTATCTAATATCGGTCACAGTCAACTGTTTCGTACATATTTATCTCTCTCTCGTTCACTAGCCGCTGTGAAGTTCAAACGTGGACGAGAATCATCTGTTGAGATTGTCTCCGACACAGAATCCAAACCTTCCGTCAAAAAAATGAAAGGTGTGTATATTTCACCAGTTGTCCTGTCTCTCCTTCATTGTTCTAGCAGGCAACACAGTGAAGCAGGAGGACTTGGTGTCGGATTTCCGAGTACAGAGTGTTTTTCACGCAGCCTTGCAGCCTAACAAATGTTCGTTCAAATTTAAACCTTTTTTTTCTCGCTCGCTCACTCACTCACAATTTAGTTTTTCTAGAAAGCTCCAATGCAGACATCGACGAACTTCCTAATTTTATTCGACAGTTGTCGCTAGTGCCAGAGACTCCAGTGCGAGAGGATAATGTCCCCTCCGGCTCTTTTTCCGCGCTGGGTCAAGCCATCAGGCATCGCATTTCGGCACCGCTGATTTACCATCTAGACAGTTCCTTCTTTGTCATGTCTCCAAGCCACTTGACTTTGTAGAGCCCCGACCATCCGATATCTTCTTGCGGGGTGTCCTCGACCCTGATAGTCCATCTGCCCCTCCTCGTATTAATCCTTGGTCTGAGGACTATTTTATAGGGGACGTGAATATTGCCATCTAACATTCTGTGCCCTACTAGTACTGCTATCTACATAGTATCCTTTTAATCATGGACTCGGAGCTTCCATTGGCTATCTAGATTCTATACCATGCTACCCTGACCTGCTACCTGACCCTAAACTCTTCCCACTATGATACAATACCTTAATCTTACACCCATTGTGCACTCGAGTATCGCGCACTCTCTGTCGTATCGCGCGCACTCTGTCGTATCACGCTTTGTCGTATCACGCACTGGATGTCATGTATCGCGCAGTTTATTAAAGTGGGGTTTGGAGCATCATAAGTACGAGAGCTGCACTTCCGTGATGTGCGAACGAAAACTATGTCGAGGTTAAGTTACTTGGTCCAATGTTAAGAGTGTTCAATCCATGTACATGTCTTCATGTTAAATGTATGAATCGAAGTATGAATAAAAAGCTGCAACTACCTACCCAAGTCCAGGTCTACATCAGTGAATTGATGAGTCCTCGATATTGTAGCTGTGGGAAGTATAGCACAATGTAATTCTGCTGCCGCCAAATATTAGCTTATATACTGCGAGCAATTTGAGTTGCACATATATACTCATGTATGCTTGTAAATCCAGCTTAACATGAATGATTATAACAATCCTGGGACATTCCGCCTGTGCAGCCAATGAGTAGTGATAGTATACCTGAGCCAATTGTTTTGAGCTTCGACATCTTACCTGATCTTGTTTTTTAATTACAATGTTATTTAAGGCCTTTTGATGGAAAGAGCCTCGGGCATTTGTCGACAAATATAAAATACCATTAGATTTAGTCACAAAGCTATGACATTCCTCCTTTTCAGATAATGAGGGGTGGTAGTAGACTTATCCCAATTATTTCATGCATTGTTGTTTGGCCCTATTTATTTATCCCATTACAATGCTATTCAAGCCCTTCTCGTGAGAAGATACCTTTAGCGGACAACTTTTGAAACTGGCTGTACCGCTTCCAGCGGCCTCCACTTTCAATAAGACTACATTAAGTATTTTCAAAACAATGCTTTACATGTTTCTGATTGCTGCTTATTGCAAATGTGAAAGTACAGCGGCGCTCTACAAGGCATCAGCGGGATCAATTAATTGTGCTACAGCGCTGGAAATATCCTACAGTAAGTCCAACATTTGTATATGTTTGTTCATGTGACGGTGCGCTCACCAGCGACCTCAGGTAAAAGGGAAGCACGAGCTGCAAATGAACTTGTCAGTCACTGTCGCAGAATGAAACTATGGTTTTCAGTACAGTACCAGTACCAAGAATTGAATAGCCGAAGAAAACTGCAGGAAAACAAATTGAGTTGCTAGCACACATTGATCAATTAACGACGTAATACAAAGCACAGCAGGTGCACCAATCTCGTCTGTGAGGGAGTTGAACATGAGAGGTCTAGATCATTATCAGTGATGACAAATTGCCAGCCATCTTCGCCAATTTCATCTGTTGAACATAATGTGACGCTGTACATCGTCAACATACAAGCCTCACTGGCAAGAGCAGAAACCGAACATACCCTCGCTTAATGGTCCCAAACCGGTGCCAATACTTTCAAGACCGTATCAGGAGCACTCCTTCATGGAGCAAGTAGAAGTTGGACGCACCGCTCTGTCAAGACCAACACCATGTAAACGAATATCTCCCATGACCATTCGGATATCATCTCTAGTCTCGCCCAAGAATGTAAGCCCAAGCTGTATGCGCACGACGCCTGCAAACCATAACTCAGACTTATCCTCCAGCATTCAAATTTGATCGCAACTCACCTTTAGCACCATCAGCGCCGACCATCCACTTGGTATCGAAAGTCTCCAATATGCCGTTCTTTGCTAGAACAGTCGTGACACCTTCACCAGACTGCTCTTTGACAAACGAACACAGTTCTGTGCCCATCTCAACAGAGCACAAAAATTTCTCTAGGTGACGTCGCAGAATCACATCTAGGAGTTGCTGACCTATCAGCTTTGGAACGTGCTACAATAGGAGCAAATCATCAGCATGACTGCTTGAGAGATGGTTCTGTATAGTACGCACAAATGGTATCGTAGGGGTAGGTTCCACATGCCAGGTCACCAAAGATTCTGTCGCAAATTCCATTGTCCCGTGCTTGTAGGAACGGATTGTGAGGACGGGTTTAGTTGACTTCTGGGACATTCAGGAAGTTGAAGAGTTCGAAGGAGCGTGGCTGGATTATGTATTAAATGAGACTATAGGAAATTAGAGAAGTATTGGCATGACACACCCAGATTCCAGGACCACGCTGTCCGATTCGAGGGTTAGGGTCTTTGTCAATGATACAAACTGGTATACCGTTCTGGAGGAGCGTTAATGCTACTACCAGACCTGCTGGCCCAGTGCCTACCTAAGAAAGAGGAACTAAGCTGAGGGGCAACCATCCATTAATATGCGGTTCACTTACGACTAGTACGGGAGGATGAGTAGAATTCATTGTAGAGTTCAGAGGTTTTTGGGTGAGGACGATAACCAATGCCAGGAACATCCCCTTTGAGTAGAGGACCGAATGGTGATGCAGTGAAGGGATAATTGTAACACTTGCCACCGTTGGAGTGGTAAGCGATGGAGAAAGGGTTTAAACCTGGAAGTCGGAAAGGTGGGTAGGGTTTGGTGGCCAGTCCAATGGCAACTGTAGTAGTTTCGGGAAGATCAAACATCTTGATTTCCCAATAGTAGACCTCGTTCAATTTGAGTAGGGGTAAATTTAACTGCACGCGCGAGGCGGATGCAGGATTGGGAAGGAAAGTGATTTCCATGCGAGCATGAACCAAAGGTGAATTAATAGTTTCGTAGTCTGGCTCAAAGGACCATGCTGAGACACCCTTCTCCTGGATAGAAAGGAATTGAGATAATGTGATAACGTCGAACATTTTCAGAAACACTCTCGAGCCAGCGAGACTCCACGCCTTCAAAGCCTCCTTCCCCATCTATAAGCTCCTCTCAACTCATGTCAGTAGGTCCATCACTGTCTCACAAGACGATACCGCGTCATCTTCGAATGAATGATATAAAAATACTAGAAAGATGAGGAGAATGAAAAGTACAGTGGAAAGCACGATAAGCAAAGGCAATCATCATATGAAGAGAAGAGCATCTGGCGCAGGCTGTGAATTGAAGTTATCTCAGGCTTGAGGTCTGAAAGCTACCCAGGGAGTCGTCGACGATGTGGCTGATGTTGACGACGACCTGTACTTTTAGCAGTGGGCACTGAAGTATGGGAGACTCTCTGCAGACTTTGGTAGGTTGACAGTAACGGTTTGAAACACGTGGGTTATTTTGTGCGGAGCAAGGTCATGCGGCTGCAGTCACCTAACATAAACATCATAGTGACAATATCGAAGACTCAGAGTACTCATCTGAGGTTCACTGACTTGAACTACTAGTACATCATCGTTCATACAGTCACGGTTCTGCCTGTAGTACATGCTCAAGAAACACTGGTACTTGACATCCTGGTCAATACCACGGTAACAGTGCTTAGTAGTTAACGTTAACTACTAGTAGTAGTCCAAATCTCCTTCGTAGTACCAGCTGGGGAAAGTCGCGTTATATGTATCATGTCGGAATACTAGTGACAGTAGCACTACAAATTGATCATTGTTGATATTGATATTATTAAAGTGCGCTGTGTGCAATGCAATCAGTATTTGTAAAAGATATGACAAATCACCCTACCTTCGACTCGGATGGCCCAAGGTCACGGTACTGGTATTTTCCATCTTCGACTCTGCAAGTATGCTGTCCACGCACACTTTCAAGCGATCTTCAGCATCTTCCGAGTCATCGTCCTCCAGAGGCAACTTCCGCTCAGCACATATCTCCTCCAGATAATCAAGTTGCAAGTCTGCAACTTGATAGGCAGCGAAATCATGACTGTACGTAGTCACAGTGAAGTCTGCGTCATCTTCAAGCTGCTGCAAGGAACGTTTGACTAAAACCCTTTCGAAATAGGAAGCCTCTATCATGCTTTCAGCATATTGTTTAGCATAATTCTTGAAAATGGCTTGAAGAAGTACTGCGTGTTTCTCGGCTGATTCGAGCTCTCAAGCTGCGGCAAGAGCCCGTAAACGCTTGCTTTCGACGTCAGCTTGCTTTGCGATGACAGCTGTATAGACAGTGTCATCAGGCATAGCCTTCATGCTTTCTTTGAAGATCTCTTTGCCCTGGTACAATGCTTGTCAATGTGACATGACCTGTGACTAGTAGATAATGCTTGAATACCTGATGAACATCTACCAGGCTAAGATCAACCTCGTTGCGCTTCAGAAGATTCTTCGTCATGAAACGGTGTTCCAGAGCAGTAGGGACATGCCCTCCTAGTTGATAGGGCCTGAATTTGAGGCTAGCATGCTTTGCATAAGACGACATATGGTGTGTTACGTGGGGAGGCCCTTTGGAAGTGATTGGGTGGCACAGCGTTGGCCACCACTACAAGATTCTTCAAATGATGATTGATTGGGGTTTATGGGGCCCATTATCCGACTATGATCATTGTCATAGTAAGGGTGCTTGGTGACATGAGGAGTGTCATCATGATCCTGGATAGATCGCTTGGCGAAAATATCAGCAGGCACCCCCAACACTTTCTCGAAATGAACGGGACTAGAGACTCCAACTGGAGGAGGTGCAGAAATAACAGGGGAGGAGGACATGTTAGTGTGCTTGTCACAGTCTCGGAGGGGCCTCTAGCTTGACTTCTGGACTCAGAATATATCAACTGGTGTCATTGGTGTGTGAGAGTCGGAGTTTCAACGACCGTAAGCTGGCAGCCCAACCTAACTATGTCAGCACCACTGCCTGGATCATAAGTTCACACAGAGAAAATGTTAGTGACATATTGGGTATCAACAAAACTTCCCAGTACGGTATCACTGTACCATATCTTTGTGTTTCAGATGCCGCGGAAATCAAATTGCTTTCATAGTAATATCAGCCACCGATTTCCAGTTAACATGTTCAATGTTGTATACTAGTAGGTAATGTTAGATTTGGCCAGGGATCACGCTAGCAATTAAAAGTAGGTATAAGATCATACTACTTGTAGAAATAGTAGACAGTAAATGTGACACACTATTTGAGAGCTTGGATATTTTCCTTATCAGTGTCATCAGCTCGTGCCTTCTGTTTGCCTTTAGCCTTCCTCCATGCTCTCGCACGTTCCTCCTTCATGTGAGCTTCACAAACACGAGTATGAAATGTGACCGCAGCACCCTCCGACATACCAACCTTCTCCACATAAAATCGGCTACCAAAATGCGCTGCAGTCGGCAGATACAATATGCCGCGCTCCTTCAGCATATCTCCATACCGAGGGAAGTCCATAGCAGGGTAGCGAGAATGGATGGTTGTGATGACGTCGTCAATGTCTTTCGGCGGTTCTTCATCGTCACTTTCTTCATCACTCTCCATGTAGAGTGCAAATGTCCTTTTAAGTGGTTGCGGAGCGGCCATAGGGCCCTGACTTTCAAGTTGCTGTATAGAATGCGCATCATTAGAAGCCCACGTGTTGTCGATGGCAGATGAGAGGTGAACATGATTATGGATAATGGGTGATATGAGCTCGGTTGGGATACGTTGAAGCGGTGACGCAGTTCTTGCCTGACGTGTCTCGCGAATGTCATCGAAATAAGGCGTGTTGGGTAGAGTAGCACAGGTGCTATCCAGATCTCGAGTGTCATACTAAATGATTCAGATGAATGTATAGTAGGCTTAGAGGCGTATAAACATGCACATACCAGATGTTTAGCCCACTCCTGGAGGTCTTGGGTACATATCGGATAGTGTGGAGCGTCTGGCTGCGACACATCTACCCAACAAAATGTGTTCTCTGAACCTCCAAGCTGATGCTCAGCGCAACATAATCTTCTCTTCACATTCTCGAGTTCCTTCACGTATAGAAGGGATGGATCGGACACAATACCTGCCTGTGATTTGATTTGTTTTCCTTTTGGTACCGACATCTACCGCAAGAAGTTATTGAGCTGTCGTGTCACGATTGAGTCAAAAAAGAACTTACAGTGTTGACGATTTCAATCACAACCTTCTTCTTTTTCCGTCCAGACACCTGCTCTGCCCTCACAGCCTTGAAAGCGCTAGCGATGTCCTGGGAAGTCAAAAGGTGATGTGGTGGGTCCATGCAGCAGGCTGTAGACAGACGCCAACCCAAGTGCTCGTATTTCTTCGAAAGATTCATTGTGGCCCTCGTGGAGTCGAGTATATCTAGTGGATGGTCTGACTCGGCATTAAAGTTGTCTACATATGTTGTAGATTTGTCCTTGTCCATGGTATTCAAAGGAATGCGAAACTCGACTAGTGAGACGTGAGTATCTCGCATAAGTTACTCAAGACAATCATCAAAATTACCTTTCTCGAAAGCTTGAGGCTGCTCGGGTCTTTCTTCTGTATAGCTAGCCTGAGCTTCTGACGAATAGCACAACTGAATGGCGCGGATGCGGTTGACCTCTTCGCCAGTGACTTCGGGCAGTTCTTTACGGGCACCAAGAAGATATGCTGTAGTTTGAAGACGGGTGCATCGGCGAGTCGATGGGATTGAATCTATGATATTATTGATATTGCGCGAAAGAATCTCCTGATTATCATGATCATGAGTTCTAGTATAACAGGCGGGGCTCTGAGTGTCGCTGTGCATCACGAACCAATGATACAATTAGACTTACTTTGCTCTTAGCTACCCAGTCTTTATATCATTTCAGTCTGGCTGTCGTGATGCAACTCGCCGAACGAAGAGTGATTGCCTAATAAGACTTAGTAGTAGTAATCCGTCATGGCAATGACTATGCCGTCACAGGGTTGTACGGTACTGTGCCAGCCGGGAGTCTGGCTCGGTGAGTCCTCGACTTCGCTGAGCAGGCGACTCTGAGTGACCGGTTCAAGTTTTGTGGGGTATGACATGATGCTACCGCACGTTAATGCCTGAGTCAGTGGCAAAAATGTAAAAGATGATGGATCCCGACTTACTACTCATACTAGTACTGGTCAGTTGAATACCTTGAAACATTAGTACGTCACAGTTCAGCGTGGGCCATTACCCTTTGCCCAACTAGCGCCAAGTCGCTTTGGGAAGTTCTTGACATTCTATATAAGGTAAACCAAGTCTTTCCCGACTTGTAGAGGGTTCTCTTGTTAGTGGTTACATAAGTAATGCGGTGACTTTCGGCTTCGTGCCAAACCTTAACAAGTTTAAATGCTATACTTAGTATCCACGGCTTTGACTCGGAACGGCTGTTGGAGGTGGATATTTAGACTCGATATCACCCCGCTACTTTGAGCGTATTAATTAATCACTGATTCTAGTTCTGATATACATGTTGGTCTGAATATCTAATATAATGGTAGAAGTTGTAGGTGGCAAACTCATAAAACCTTCAGTGAATATAAAACGGAAAATGACTATCATACATCACTCCTTGCCAGGTAGATTGAGGTCATTAAATATGCATTGTCCACACGGTGGACATTGTCGTCTTGTCCAGGATCGTGCTAAAGCCACCCCCTTTGGCTCGCAGTGCAGCCAATGCTTTGATCAACCATACTATAACAGTTATCACGGCCAGTCATGACTGTCAACACGGAAGGCATGCAGCACCTATACTAGCATGATGCCCGTCAATAACTTGTGTGGGGGTGGTTTTTTTACCATTGGCCAGCCTGCAAGGCATAGTGAGACTGGCAGAACCAGCAAGAGTGCTACTAGCTTACTTTCTGCCTACAACGGTGAAAACATAGAGCGTAAGGGCTCCGTTTGAAAGGAAGGCCACACAAGCCAAGATAGTTATGATATTGACGACGGCATTGTCAGACCCAAAGCAGGCAATAAAGATAGCTGCACCAAATGAAACGTCATACTCATAAGTAGATCTAAACACGCCTAGCGCCTCACTTACCCACAAACAAAAAGCAAGTGGCACTGACAGACAGATTGAGGGGTATGCTAGCCATAGCAGCAGCGCGATGACTTGGTATCGTGGCATGTGCTGTGCTGTGTGTCAAATGGTGAGCCAGCTTAAACAAACTCACTCACCTTGAGGGTTTCCATGTCTTTGTGAGCAGTACTAGTTTCATAGATAACAAGCACAGCAGAATGATTGGAGAGTTATAAGCCATCAAATGCGGCACAGGAGGCGGTGACAACAGGAATAAAGTAGTAGTTGCGAGCATGAGCCCGGCCTGAAGTCTGGTCATTGAACGCTAGCTGTGAAGTCAGATTATATGACATACAGTGACGTTTGTGTTCTGGAATTGATTGACCATAATTGAGACATGTTCCTTCCAGTCTTTGTTCTTTGTATCTTTCCAATGGTCGAGAGACTCCCGAGAGACTGCAATAACGCACAAGATTTTGAATGCCAACTTAAGGATAGGATTATTGGGAGCTCGACCGTATCCACACAGACGGAGAACTGTGCTCGGTAGACAGGATAGGCTCGAGGCTCTAGCACGGAAAGATGCGACATGGTAAAATGCAAGAAAATCTGAAAATGCACGAAATTATCCAAAAGTTAAGTTTATGCTGTGCTACATGCTGTAAACTAAACATGAGATAATTGTGTTGTCTTGTCAGTCAAAGTTCCAGAGCCATTAATATGATTAAAGTCGGAAAAGGTGAATTCATCACTTCCTAGAAAAGCTAGAGGGACACAATACCCAGTATGTAAATTGATATGATACCGCTTGTACGTAGATTGATCATCGGGTGCGTATAACCGGGCCAGTGAGCACAGAACCGTTACTAAATAATAGTGCTGTAAGTGCAGCCAGCTGCGATGGGCTCATGGCCTCCAGCATCCGCATATAGCGTTCGAGATGAGTACGGTTAGTTTCAGGTATAAACACGCTTGCAATGTGTCTCCCCATGCGGCGTTCTTCTAGTGCCCACCGGCAGAAAGTAGCCGTTATTGCGAAAAACGGCTTGACGTTGAGATTATCCCCGATATACCGGTGATATTGGTGTTCACTGTCATGTAACAAGTATGACATTGTCGCAAGGATCGCAGGGTTCGCAAAGGCAACATTGACGACGACCCCCTCGACCTAAAAAAATGCAACTCGAAGTATGAGTGAATCATGATCAAGGGTAGTACTGTGGCACGTACAGATATTTGGCTATACAAAAACAGGTCATTCTCTACAAGACGTTGGACTCATATCGCGCGCTCAGCGATATGCGAAATGTTCAATGACACGCTGTAGTCGAACCAGAGGTCATACTTGTGGTATACAAATGACCTCACCACCAACTTCACGTCGTCGAGTATCTCTATGAAGACGGGCTCGAGCTTCGAGAGCCGATATTTTTCGCCATTATCTAGTTTGCTTAATGCCCATTGTCGAAGTGATTCTGCTCCCAATCAGTTCCATACCGGTGATTACTTGAAATTTCGGAAACCTTACCATCGGTCTGGGATTTGGTCAAGACGTCCCACGAAGACTTCACCATTCAACGTAAAGAATCGGGCGAGGGTAGTAACGTTTGGCGAAAGGCATCCACTTTGACCATTTCTTTACACTGGCACAAAAACCCTGGAATGCCGAATGGAATGAGCCTCAATTCCGTCGTCGGCGCGCTTGAGCTCGTGATTGCAGAGCTTTTGGTTTTGACGAGTTTGGTGCTCGGGTGTGACGAACGAGATGCCCCCCTGGATTCCTGGGGGCGGCAGCGGTGGGAGGAAGCGATGACCGAGTGTTGAGTGACATCATCAGCGTGATTAGATGGATGGGTGAGGGTCACTGGTGGGTATGCTGGGTGCGGCCGATGTTGGCCCAGAGTTGACGAGAAAAGACGGGTTGAATGCCACCGCATCACTTGCTACCAGACCTGCAGCCGGGATGTGGGGAAACTGGATTGGATACCACCCCGTCACTCACTACCAGGACCTGCAGCTGAGACTGTGGAGAGGCTGCTGCCACGTATCTAAAAAGCCTATTGTGGTTGGATCGGAAAAGTGTTTGGGTTTTGGATGGAAGAGCTGGTCCCAGCCAGTGCAGCAGGGTGTACAGAAGGCAAAGGATAGTGGATTGAATTTGTGATGGCGGCGGCGGCCAGCTCGTCCTGATTAAGGTGCTGATGCAATCGATGGCGTGACTGATAGCCACCCAGTATGGCAGGATAGTCATCATCCTGGTGTTGCTGCAAGCCCTGTAATGATGATTGATCAGGATAGTTTGCAGCCTCGCTGGAAGGACCTGCTGGTGCCTGCAGTGTGGTCGCATCGTGATAATAGTCAAGATGAGGCTGAGACAGGCCAGGCTGTGAGATGAGTCAGGCTGAGGAGACTGTGGCAACCGACGTTGAGAACTAACCGTATGATAGTCGTGTTGATAGTCATCGTAGTTAGGGAAATTGAATGGATGAGAATCGGGAGGGGGTTGTTCAGTCGTATGTTGCTCAGGCTGATAATCGCCCTGCAATTGAGGCTGATCGCCCCAACCTGATAACATGGTTGGTAGCGAGTAACAGTGAAAGTAAATTACTCACCTGTAAACTTAAGTAAAGAGGGTGCGCACGTGAAGCCTGGATTGGATCGATCACAAACTACATAATGTACATAATGTACATGGTCTTGAATCGTTATGGTAAAGAAACTGCTATATGGGTCCCAGGTTCGTGTTTAGCTTTGTCAGCTGAGCGTTGAAAATTATATACATGCATAGATATCCGGTCCCAGGTTCGTGTTTAGCTTTGTCAGCTGAGCGTTGATCATCAATTGGCGCTCGACACGGATTTACATCGTCAAGATTATTATAATCTAATTTAATTTTGAAACCGAGAGGAGTGTTATGATGGATGACTGGGCCAGCCTGAGTAGTAAGTCCTTATTTCATCTCATCACATCTCCAATGTTTCTGAGTCCATGGGTCGAATCAGTCGCAGACTCGCAGGCACCTGCCTTTCTTCCCCGTCTATGAGACCGCTCCGGCTGCAACCAATGGCAACTGGCTCAAAGGTAAACGTTGACCGTGGCACACCCATGGCCTGGAGATCGAGTCATGCAAGGAAGAACTTGAAGGTGCGTACTACTAGTTGTCGCATCATACTCATTCCGTGTGCTACTATATTCAAAAACTCGACGCTTCCGACCTCTCTCAAGCTCACCGTCCTCAGCCCCACCGGTCGTGTCTGGACAGTGGTTGCAGGCGGTGGTGCATCCGTCGTCTACAGTGATCTCATCGCAGCCGCAGCAGCTGCCAGTGGTTTCGCATTCGAACTCGCCAACTAGTGACTACGGTGAATACTCTGGTGCCCCAAGAAAGGGTCAGACTCTCTTTTGATGATGATCCGTACTACGTACGTATCTCATCACTTCAATCACATCTAGCTAATCTAGTACATCTAGTCTACCTGCTCACGTGCCCGCCTTCAAGTTCTAGCAAGATCCTCGGTGAATTTCACCAACGTAGTTGCCACCTTCAAAGGTATCATCTACACGTCACGTTCTACAAAACTGAGCTCATTGCACGCACCAGCAAAGTCAAGATCTACTGGTACGTCCGTCCCAACATCATCTCTCATTGATCCTGATATTAACCCTGAAGGGCTTCCGACAAGACCCGATATGATTACTTCACCGGGCGCGAACAACATTTTCTGGACTACTACCAAGCAAGGCAAGAGTCTCACTGCCTATTTGAGACCAATTCATTCAACCTCTTCGCTTTATATTAGGTCATCGACAACACTAAGTTATATCAGAACTTGGTCGTAACTGGACCACTCAAAAAGGTCAAGACACCGCCTGTCATTTCGCGTGTTTCTAGATCGGCAGGAAGCACACTTTCTGGGCTACCGTATAAGGCAAGAGCTCAACTGCTTATTTCAGACGAAACCATTCAAGCTTACATTAGGTCATTCGGCGTAGACGGGTATAAAAAACCTCACAGAAGCTTTCAACGCTCAACCTTCTCATCCTCCCAATTCTTTCTACTTCATCTCTGGTATGTCGATGCCTGAGAGTAACTGCGCTGGCAACCTTCCTGCTCCTACTACAGTGGTATCTCTTTGCGTCTCAACGTCTCCTCAAGCTAGGGCGAAGAGGAAAATTGCTGCCCTCGTGGAAGAGGTCGAAAATTTGAAGCAGGAGAAAGCGATAAAACAAAGGTGTGTGCGTTCTCGACATCTCAAAGCAGTTTTAACGTTCCCGATTGTAGAAAAACAACCTACTATGTTTCCCAGGGACTGAGCACTTCGTAGGATGGTTGTTCTTTACTGCCCATTAGAAGATCTGGTTGCCGAGAATGACCGGCGTTGCGAAGACTCAGACGGCGACCACACAATCGAGTAAGCATTCATGTTCATGGTACCATGTTTATCTTAACGATGAACAGACAAAACCGCCTTCAGCGCGGCTACATTGAACTCAGTAAGACATTGCCATGGTTCCATGAAAAGCTTGCAAGTCTTGATTTCGAAGAGTCGGAGGATATGCTCAAACAGGTTTCTCACAGCATCTTTGTCACGCTTCTGTGCTAATTGGCAATGTAGCTCAAGCGAGGAGCTGATTCAGCTCAGTGGTGACGACACGGGAACTCTCAAAGAGCTCGTGGCCTCATGGGTTAACATTGAGTGTCGTCTGCCTTCGTTTCTAAGAGCAGACGATAAGCACCATCGAGGTTTCGTGAACGATGCGTGTGGTAAGCTACTCTGCCCAGCGGAATGGTGCTGGGAGGATCCAGTGTAAGTGATAATCCTCGTCACTTAGATGTTACTGATAATGTTATTCAGCGTCAGGGCTGGAATTCGTGACCGCACCACCGCTTTTATTGTTTCTGAAAATTCATGGCCTATGTTCATGTATGAAAATTATGAAGCCCATGCGAAGAATCTGGAGCGTGGTCTCTTCAAGTCCAAGCTATTAGTCATGGTCAGCGGCCTGATTTTTTAACTGAATTTTAGTTCATCGCATTGCAGGGCTTCAAAGCCATTTTCACATCTCCCTCCTCGGCCAATGAAGTTGATGGCGATGGCGATGGCATTGATATCATTGAGAATCACTGACGTGCCCGGAGACGATCAGATCACTCTAAAGTGAAAACATGCATTGCCTCCATCATAGGTATGAGGAAGGTAACTCCTCGCGCGATCGCATATGCAGCTTGCCAGGTGAGTATCAATGCTTCTCTCTTACCATGAAGTTGAAATCGAATTATCCAGATCCAATTCGCACTGTCCAACATCACTTCCTGGCGCACTGTTGACGGCGACTTCAACTATCAACTTTTTTGGAACAACATTGTAGACTTCTTCGAGGATCCTCCAGGTCCAGCTGCGCTAGCAAGGGTGAACAAGCTTCTCAAATGGTGGACCAGGTATGTCATCGACCTCATCAGTGACTCACCTGGATTGCTAACCTCCTGTGTAGAAAAGTGTTCGGACGAAATCATGGTCAGGACTTAACACCGGATGTTATTCTTCACATGTCTGTCAACAGTCTCGCTTCCCAGAGACAGCAAATGGAGGACGCTGCATTCAACTCCAACTAGTTACTTGATGTTTTGCTTGCTCATCCCACTCTACACCTTTAGTATGATTAACATATCCTCTTTGTCCCGCTGCATTATTTCAGTTCTACAATACACCCTTGATTATCAATGTCATCATGATTTTAACACCTTCTGATTTATATGTGCGATAAACTCTATTTTCGGATATATGGTATAGTGTGTGATATGCGACGAAGCACGAAGCATGACACACTGATACACTATGGCAATTTTAACATGCGTGATCAGAATTTGCCAGTTGTGAGACTAGGATTGTCCTGTAGCGATGGCACAAGATAATTATTTGTCCTAACAACGTTGAATTATTTATGAAAAGGTCAATGCTCTGAGATCCGAAAATGACTGCCTAAAGTCCTAACAACTCTGCTGCTTCTTAGACTGTTAATTTAGAATGCTGATGGTCCATTCAACGAAGCGTTATCGATAGCACACGGTAAAATAATCCCGAGCTGAGATGCCTGATTGCACAATGCCGACTTTCATTATTCTCAAATCCCTGGGCAGGGCTATCTTCTCTGGCTGATAGAAAATTATCGTTTCCGTTCATGATAATAGTCTGGTCTCTGTTGCGACAACTAAGTACCACTGCAGCAAAACCTACAATTGGTTATTTTCGGAATAAAACCAGCTAACGCTCAAAAACCATAGTCAGGCTACTCTGAGGTACTAGTGAGGTAGCTCAGTAGTTCATCAGATCTTCGGAAGTCTTGAGCTTGGCACGCCGAAAGGAGTGTCATTGTGAAGGCGCAAAATATTGCGCGAATTACAATTTAGCACTGCCACTGCGCATGCTTGTAGCGCTACATCAAAGTTTGAATCATCGACAGCCATGGTCGCAACCGAAAATTCTGTGCACTGAAGCAACATTGTAAACTTTTGATTTTGTCTGAAGGTATGATTTGATGCAATATTATGTTCCGGAAAGTTTCCACTAGGCAATTATAGATTTTTAGCGACAGACTAGGAAGTCTAATCATTGAGAAATAATATATACTCTGACATACCCTGGAACGGTATGTACGTTCTGTATAATGTATTGTTCTGTGTGACGGTCTACAAACATGCATTTCATTTGCGCGACTCTGCTACTTCTATTTCGTTGCAACTCGGCGTCCATCGTGCAGTGAGACCTACTCTAACACAACTTAGGACACCGTCTGTACTCCATACAATATACCACTCAAAGCAACACTCATCCAACATTTAGTCCGTACAGACAAACTATCCATTGAGAAGTACTGTCTACTGTGACTCACATTTTTTATCTGAGCAAGTTATCCACGGATTCGGTAGTTATCCGCAGCGAGTAAAAATATAGTGTGCGAAGACCAAAAGGCACCCATCCTCTTCACGGGTGAGCATCACCCAAATATCTTTCACTTCCACACACTGCAACCTCCTTCCTTGCCCTTGTAAGACTAGGTCCATATTAAAATGCATGAACCTGCGTTCGAGCGTTGTTTCTTAGACCCATCCAAGCAAAAAGGTCCTTGAGGCAAACAGGGCTACCAGGCCCGTGCGCTTGCAAATTGGTCATACCTCGACAATGCCAAACATTCCCATGTGAAAGCGGTCGGCAAATTTACACTGATTGTTGCGATGCTCAACAATATATTACTTTAAATACCATTCTAATTTGTTCACCAGTTCACTGATGTAGTACTAATGATCATGATGACGGTCAGCATGACAATTATGTAATCTGCCAATGATACATGACATGAACTTCGGTGCCCCACAGACCAACAGCAAACAAACATCAGTGAATTGATGAGACCTTGATATTGTAGCCGTGCGAACTGTAGAACGATACAATTCTGCTCCTGCTAAGTAATATCATATATACTACGAAAAATCTGAGCTGTAAATACATAGCCATTGATGCCTGTACATGTAGAGTAGCATGAACAGTCCACGACAATATCGTCACATTCCTCCATTGCAGCAGATGAGAGGTGATAGTTTGCTTGTGCCTATTATTGTGGGCATTGTCGTTTTGCCATATCTATATGTTGAATTACGGCTCTTTTCAAGACATTCTCATGAGAAGTGGCTTTGGCACTGCCCAGCCAATGTATAATCCTATCCGATTCTATCACAAACTCGTGGTACGGCGCCATCGCAACACACAAGGTATGATAGTTCACTCTTCTAAGCGTTGTTTACTGTGTTTTTTTTTCGTTTAAATTAAGACGTTATCTGAGGCCATCCACGACCTTCTCGAGGAAAGTGGCTTTGGCACTGCCCAGCTGATGTATAATCCTATCCGATTCTATCACGAACTCGCGGTACGGCGCCATCGCAACACACAAGGTATGATAGTTCACTCTTCTAAGTGTTGTTTCCTGTGTTTTTTTTCGTTTAAATTAAGACATTATCCGAGGCCATCCATGACCTTCTCGAGGAAAGTGGCTTTGGCACTGCCCAGCCATTGTATAATCCTATTCGATTCTATCACGAACTCGTGGTACGGCGCCATCGCAACACACAAGGTATGATAGTTCACTCTTCTAAGCGTTGTTTCCTGTGTTTTTTTTCCGTTTAAATTAAGATGTTATCCGAGGCCATCCACGACCTTCTCGAGGAAAGTGGCTTTGGCACTGCCCAGCCATTGTATAATCCTATTCGATTCTATCACAAACTCGTGGTACGGGCGCCGTCACAACAAACAAGGTATGATAGTTCACTTTTCTCAAAGTTGCTAACTATTCTTGTTCTTCCAATACAACAGGCAAGAGGATTCGCATCAGGACGAGTGGTAGCTAGCTCCTGGACGCACAGAACTGCCTTGCCTTGTTGATTTGCGTCCAGGCAAGTCGTACTAGTAGTACCAGTGGCTATCAAAGAATCTAGATTCTACAAAACGGTGTCCGAGTGAGTCACGGTCGTCCTACCAACAATCGATTAGTATCAATCATCAACTTCGAGCCGGTCACCTGCTTGCACATGATAAAGATGGGCGCGTCGGACATATTGACTCCAACGTTAACGATTTTAGCAATAGTTACTTAGTATGTCGTGGCATGTTGAAACAACGTTGCAAGTCATGATGCACTGTCCTGAACAACCTGAGGGCCTGACAGC